CTGCATCCAGTTTTGCTTACAAAAAAAAAAAGGTTGAGACTTTGGAAAAAGTGCAGAAAAGAGCAACTGAGGTGATTAAAGATCTGAAGATGAAAATTATGGATGGAAACTAATCAAGGAGAGAAGCAACCGAGAATTAAGGAAAACTTCCTAACAGCAAGGACAATTCACCAGTGGAACAGCTTGCCACCAGAAGTTGCGGGTGCTTCGTCACTGCAGGTTTTTAAGAAGAAACTGGATTGTCTGAAATGGCAGAGGGTCTCCTGCTTGAGCAGGGGGTTGGACTAGATGACCTCCAAGCTCCCTTCCCGACTCTATTCCAGATTGAAATTGAATTGATGCCAGAGCAGCATAAAAAGCACTGGGCGAGGAATAGATTCGTGTCTGAGGCCTCCACCTCTATGGTTCCATCTTGGCTTACATGGATTCCTTTTTGGGTGGGACACAAACCCTCCCCCCCCCCCCAACACACGCGCATTTGAGGAAGCTCCTGGGGTAAACAGAGAAACGCCTGGGAGAAACATCCAGCTCCCATGATTCAGTTTTCAGACCATTCTACCCGAATAATGACCAAGAAACTTAGTTGACCTCCTCCAAATTGAATCTCTTAATAGACTTTTGCATTTGACCCACCGTCTGCCGGGGCCCCCCCTTCTCCCCTGAACCGATTAAGCCCACTCAGGGAATCCCAAAGGTCGTATTCTAGTCTACTATGCTGCTTCATTAGTGGGGAATTGGGAGGAGGGGTAGTAAGGAGTTAGATGATATGTAGCCATAACAACATTCTTTCTAGGAAGCCAAGCTCATCCTTTTTGTCTGCACCTGACTGGAACTGGAGGGGTGGAAGAGGCCAGCGTGGCAGTGGATGATTGGACCTTGGGATGGGCTTCTGGGGGTGGGGGGGGGCGAGATCTTGAACTTTCAACCGGGTGAGGAAAACCGGGAAGCCTTCAGATTCGGGTTTTCCCAGATGGGCCAAGACGGAACATTGGGGCTTTGAGGAATCCTTTGCTTCGGACTCTGATTTCCTTCCGGAGGCCGTTTGGAAGCCTGACAGGCGACTGGACTTCGTTTGTCCACGAAGAGCTTTCGCTTCTCGACCAAGAGGCTTCTCCCGTTCGTTCGGAGGGAACGGCGGAGGAGGAAAGGATTTACATAGTCATCTGGTTGCCGGTTCTCTCTCTGAGGGTTTATCTGTGTCCTCGGGGTCGCCCGGAGAGTGCAGGTGGGTGTGGGGCCTTCTTGGAACTGCGGGAAGGATGGGAGCAGTGGTGGGTTCCGAGCGTTTCGGCTGAACCGCTAGTGGTATGGCGGCCTGGGTCGTTGGAACCCGCAGCCACCCAGGCCTGCCATGGCCCCAAACCGGTTCGCCGATCGGCGGCGCCATCTTGTTTTTTAGTTCTGCGCACGCGCAGAACAATTTTAGTTGAACTGCGCATGCATGCACAGCGCACATCAAGCGCGCGGGAGCGAACCGGCAGTAAATCTGGGCCGAATCCACCCCTGGACAGGAGATGGGTGGGGTCGTATCTCTTGCCCACCACCACCACCGCCGCCCCTGTTGAGGGGGGGCTGTTCAATCGTAAGGTGGATGGCCCCCTTTTGACCCCTTTTTCAAGAAGCTGAGGAAGCTTCTTGGATAAGAAGCAAAATGTCTTTCCCCCCACACACACAAAAAATAATGGCAAGGGGCCTTTAGAGAAATGACTTTTGGGACTATCATGACCTGGATGAGTGAGACACTCCAGAGATGGGGGGCAGACAAAGTCTTCTTCTCAAAGTTAAGAGGATAATCACAGAGGTGGAAGGGACCTCGGAGGTCTTCTAGTCCAGCCCCCCGGCTCAAGCAGGAGACCTCTACACAATCAGAATGACAGAGTTGGAAGGGACCTCAGAGGTCTTCTAGTCCAGCCCCCCGGCTCAAGCAGGAGACCTCTACACAATCAGAATGACAGAGTTGGAAGGGACCTCAGAGGTCTTCTAGTCCAGCCCCCCGGCTCAAGCAGGAGACCTCTACACAATCA